GTGATGTAATGATTTATTCAAGGAGATGAATAAAGTAAGAAAAAACACCATAATCCTTTCAATAAGTAATTTAGTTTTGCAAAAACATTATCGTCGTCTAGAAAAGTAAAGTATATATAAATATAATATATTTGGAATATTTCTACTGATCCGATCTTTCAAACATAGCCCATTTATTTGATTAATTTTGCTGGAAGTACCAATAAACCGCTCATCAACACAAAAGGGAAGTAAACCGAGTGATATTTTTTTTAAGTTATTTAGATACCAGCTTTCGCCCGCGACACCGTCCGCTTGCAATTAATAAATAAAACAAAAGTAAGTGGCCTATGTATTCTCCCAGACTACCCTCTAGGTCAGCCAAATTTCATCGATATCCTTAGGCTACAAACATCCATCCATCCATCTAAACTTTCGCATTATAATATTAGTAATAAGTAAAATTCATACATTCCGAAGTTTAGGTTATCATATATAACATATTCTGTACTGTATCAATAACCGTTATATTTCACGGCTACACCGAGGTAACGAAGAGTAAATTGTGAGTACGATTTTCTACTCTACTAAAACATAGTAAAGTCTATAACAGTTTGCAACCTTTTCGCAAAATACCTGAACAAATGTATGTTAACGTTTTAAAACACATCTGAAGACCGTTAATAATTTGTTTGATGTGCTTTTTCTATCACACACGAGGATATCCGTTAGTTACGTTTAAAACGTTACGAAAAATTGTTAAAAAAAATGTAACAGTATTTGAAACTGAGATGTCCGAGAATATAGTTATTTTTGCATAACATATAAAAAAAATAATGCCAAATGATTTTATTAAACACATATGGTAAATATGGAAGTCAACCATTAAATGATGGAACTGCGTAAATCGTAAATCCAAACTTATCCAATTAATATAAACAAATATTTACTCATTATACTTAATGTTTGTTCTGAATTCAGTTGGTATTTTCATTACTTGTATAGTTTATATTTCATAGAGAGTTTTTTAGGCTTAATTTTATAGTTATAATCCAATATATTAAATGATGAGTCCGTCCTTGGCGAGGAACCTGTTCTATTGAATGTGTATTTGCTGGACATTGGCGTACCCGTTTATTACAACAAAACGTTCAGGGTACTACGGTATCGACTGGTTTTCGACCGGTCGACCACAAATAGCATCGACAGACTTTAGACAACGCGGAATGTTGGGGACGAGAATTCTAAAGGGATAATGGAATCTTAGAATATTATCTGAATATTTTTAATAACATAATGATAATAAAATTTTAACGGATAAAGCTGGAGACCAGTTGTTCGCTGATTTGATGAAATTCGTGAGATTTTATTCATCTAATCTTAAAGATATAATATAGTAGGTATTTCAATATTCAATTTGGATGCGTAGGTATATCTATAGGTTCATTGCGTTGATGTGATTGCAGAGTCCTTCGTTCAAATCCACGTTTACCTGCATTAGTTGAAGAAACTTGAACCACTTAAGATATGGCAGGGTTTGTTAACCTTTTAAACAATAAATTTAAATATACAGGGATAAAGGGATGAATCATCGAGTCCGTTGGAATGTCCGACCACGGAGTTTCTTTAAGCGATTCAAATCACGAACGGGATGAATCAGTGGATATTTCATGTTAAGATTTATAATAAGAAAAGAGAAAAAAAGTTAGTACATTTTTTTCCAATTCATCATCTTTTATCTAAACTAAAACAAGCACACACTACTTCGTGGTATAGGATGTCAGCAATCATAGCATATATTTGAATAATTATTTCTTCACGTGGGAAAGGGACCATAAACTACAAACTGCGAACATTAAGGAAGCAAGATTAGTATGGTAAAGGTTATTTTGACATTTGCAATTGAGAATTTTACAAATCTAAACAGTAAAATTAAGATTTTATGATTTCATGGGGATGAAGCCGTACGAGAACAGCTAGTCGGCACATTGTTTTTTAAATTTTTGTTAAGAAAAGGGAGGATTTTTGAAGTCGGTACATAAAGCTTGTTTGTGTCTAAGAGTTTGTTTCGATTAACGATTATCTAGAAAAGATGTTACAGAATTAAAGAAACTTTGTACATCTGGAATTACGCCTACATTTTATTTAATTATAGCGGTTGATTACTATTACGGTCGCTTGGTGTCCGATGAATCTGGCCTTGGTTGATAAATTGACACGAAATGTTAAAAAAAGTTGTGTTACAGATAAAAAAGAAAACAACTTGAATTGATAGGCGAATTAACGTTCGACCTTGTTTCGGTGACGTACAAGGTTCTCACGATGTTTGTCTTGCCAACTGCCACTTGTTTAAATTTTAACGCACGGCCGAAGATTATAAAAATATCTCGCATATTTATACTTTCATCAAAGAAAAGAAAACATCATAAAGGATCAGTCAAAACTGTTTAGAAGTAAAGACTATACATGTATTCAAATTAATGATATTATAAAATATTAATGATATTTACAACAATCCTGGAAACTGTTAAAGGATTTTTTGACGAATACCTTTACTCGTAAAATCTTAGCGTATGATCGTCGTACTTTTTAAAAAAGGGAAAGATACTATAGTATTTACTGACTACAGAATAAAAGAAATTGTCAACAATTTCATTTATTAACGTGTTGTGAACTTATTACTGGTTATTAAGACAATGCATTAAACCTAGTTTACACAATTAAAAAAGCACTGTCACTAAACAAAATACACCCAATGTAAATTTCACTTTCTATTCTCATAGTTCTTCGTAGAAATGTAATTTTTTTTTATTCTTAGATTAATTTTGGCGTGACAAATATGACTTGACTTTATTTCACAGCCTTGGAGAAATATTGTTATTCAACAATTATATCTGTTAGTCTTGGGTATCGTATAGAAAATACCTATTTATTTTTTAAAAATAAACAAACTAATAAGAGAAGTTCGAATGTACAATCTTCAGTTCACAATCAGCATCTAATGAATACTCCAGATATATGATTCCAATTAGGGTAAATCTTAGCCCGCATATTTATATAAAAGGAGAGTATAGTGTGCGTGATTCGACCACCTGGCGAAACTGGTTGCCTTCCCTCTTTGCGGTCAGGTGTGCTTCGCGACTGCGCTTTAAAATTTCATCCCATTTTACATTTCATTGAACTAAGAAATCGAACGTAACATCTGGACTAAATCTATACTTCTTCTATACTTATTACTTATAATATAATAAAGCGTAAACACACACTACTTTGTGCCGTAGGATGTCAGCAATCAAAGCATATTTTTGAATAATAATTTCTTAAATAAAAAGCCCTACACTTACGAAATGCTTTAAGGTATATATTTTCACGCTATCAAAGTTAGGGGATAAAGAAATTAGAAAAAAATCTTCATGTGGGAAAGGGACATCAAGTGCAAGCTGCCAACATCAAGGAAGTAAGGTTGCCATGTTTTCTCATTATGTTATGTCATTTTGACATTTGCAATTGATAATTTGACATAACATGTAAACAATAAAATACAATTTTCATAATTTCATGCGGATGAAGCGGCACGGGCACAGCTAGTAGATTGATATGTGTAATGAATATGTTGGTTACCTTTGTATCAAAAGGCTTTTATTATTAACATATCACAATACAGTTAATCTACGCAGTAACCTTGATTCCAGTTCCATTGTTTGAGATGTAACTAAATCCCATTCTTAAGGTCGGGCAGGTAGGCGGGTAATATCTATAAGAATGCTTGTATTCGTACCCACTACATTATTAACGTTATTAATCCAATTCGAAACAATAGGAATGACCTCAGACAAATTGAATTGCATATTAGTGATGTTTACATAAAAAGTGATACACACTATGATTATTGTAGTGCTGTTACAAGATGTTTTAACGTTATTTGAGTAGTCAGAGACAATCTGAGCTTTTTAGACTTCACATTATCATTGACAAAATAGACACAGCAAATTCAGGTTTTTAGGCAATGGAAATTCCCGATAAAACTGGTATACATCGCGAACATAACTTAAAACCGTGTTAAAATCGGTACGTATACCATATACCAAAAATAATTAAATCGATATTAGTGGTCAAACTTAATAAATCAATGTCGGCGTCGCGGTTACTTCTTCGAATTAGAGTTTCATTGGTTGCAATAATAAAACATAACGACAGGCATGTGTCATCGCTTGATATAAACTAACAAATTGTTTATAACCACTACTGTGGCTTACGACCTACGACTTCTGTATGGTCTGTTATTGGACTTGATTGTAGATAATGTTGTTTACGTTTTAGTAGGAATCGATTTTATTGTGTTGTCTTGTCCGTTGTAAATACCCTCAATATATAAATGGTTATATACTTATGCAATACCTTGTATTATTGTTTTTAGGACAATGTAAATAAGTTATAACAGTAATAAACATATTTGTTATACAATGTTTTTAGTTTCTTACATAAATGTCTATTTCTGCTTCAATAATCACGCGTATAAAATGCATGTGAAGTGGCGCTCTTCGTGTAGAGAAAATTTATATGAAAGTGGAAACTTACAGCATTGTTAACACATGTGACGTCTGTTTTTATATCAGTATGGCGGATTGCACGCTGTATATATTTTCCATTCTCATTAGTTTTTACAAAATTTTATTTTCATTCTCATTTTTTTATAGTAAAGTTAAACGAACCAATGTTTTGTTGATGCTATTATCTGTATATGAATCATTTTGCTTGCAGAATATTTTTGCTTCTCTGCAAATTGTGTTTTAATTTAAAATCTCGTAGGTTTTGTGTTGCAAAAGCTCAGAGTCGGTAGGTAGATACGAGTACGCTGGAGCGCTTTGCGACTGTAAAAAACTTAATTAAAAATGAATTCGCTTTTTATGTTTACTTTTAATTAGTCGTTACTAATTCTTGTTTTAATTATTAGTATGCTTAATTTAGCCATATCAAAAGCCGTTTAGTAATCAAATTTAGATATTTAAAATATTTCTTACCGATAACGAATTTCCAGTGAATCTGCCAGAGATCCAATCAATATGCAACCGTGTAATAAACCTTACAGTACGAGCTCTAGGTTGCTCGCAGCTGGGTATCCACTCGATTATTGATTTGCATGCTTCCCTTTACAACAAAGATCACTTGCACGATTGTTTGGTCCAGTGACAAAACATAAACGATACATCAAACAAATGAACGATCGAAAGTTTCACTTGTCAATAAATCACGTCTTCATTTATTCGTTCAAGTACACATAACACATTATTGTCCCTATGTTACGCAATTAAATGATTAGATAATGCAGTAACGTAGGCCGTGCAGTTTGCATCAATGTCGTATCGATTCTAGTCGGATGGAATTAAACAATGGTTAGCAGAGCCAAAACAATACAGATGCGAGGCGCGCACCGCACGTGCCGCCCCGCCCGCGGACACCTCCGGACTGAATGACGGAGCTATCAAACGACGCGACAAGCGTCGAGCGCCGAACCCGAACGCGGCGGACTCGGATCGTTTTGTCGTTCGGATGCAGTCGCGTGTTGCCAGATTCGGCGTCTGCGAGTAACAGAGCGAGGTAACTCGATGGTGATTAAAAACTTCTATGTAAAGACGCTTTCATTTTGCATCGCGATGTATTCTATGCAAATGCATATGGGTAGTATTTTTGCATAAAGTATTGAGACTATAATACTGAAAATTACAGACAATTAGCAGTAGTAAGAACACATTTGCAGTAGTTCCGCCAACACGTGAGGAACGTTTCCTCTCTTCAGTTACGAAAAAAAAGATATTGCACACAAAAATATGTTTAACAGGATTTTATGTTGTCATTACGACATAAAGATAATAAATCACGAAATTGAAATTCTAAACGAGAATACTATTTGTCGTAGACAACATTTTATCCTCGACATCCCGTTGTCATTCTTCATTTCAATTATCCTACATCTTGTCTACAGGTAATGAAAGCTTCGCATTTAGGTACATGTGTGTAAAATCACATGGTACTTCATATCTTATGTAAATACAATAAAGTTACCTGACATTGCTTAGTCCCTTTTTAATTAAATTTTCTTTCATTACGACATTCTTGTATAAATGTACTATTCTTTACTAATAATGATATCTAAACAATCATAACATTAACAACACTTGTGTACGTCTAGTGTGAAATGTTATCATGCATTTGTTGTCGTTAAGGGTGTCAGGGGAGCCACAACAATAAGCGTTCGTTCCAAGCACCGCCTGCCCCGAGCTCTGATAACATACGACCATACATACATATTGTAAAGCATCGCACACACTAAGTTTAGTTTATGTTTTAGACTACAACACACATAGGCATAGGCAACTTACTGATGTTCATATTTTAGCTACTGCTAGATTGAACTTACCTTTATAACTTTTAGATGGCGAAATGAAATTATTTGTGTGTGTGTGTTTTTTAAATAAAGTTTGCACTTTAATATTTTAAGTTGATTCTCATAATAGTATTAGATAATGAAAATTACAGATGTGGGTGTGCAATCTACGAGATTCCTCATTTAGGCTTATTGTAAACTAGCTTGCGCCTGCAACTCCGTCCGCGTGGAAATAAATGATCAAAATCGTCTAGCCTATGTGTTCTTCCACACTATCCTCTACGTCTATGCCAAATTTCATCGAGATCTGTTCTGTCGTTTAGGCTACAAACTCTAACAAGCATCCATCCATCCATATAAACTTTCGCATTTATAATATTAGTAAGATTAATAATTTGAGCTTGCGTCTTTGCCGCCATGTCGGTCGTGTTCGGTGACCAAATAAACATAGAAGAATTAAACGCCTCCACTAATTGGATTTCAATAAGTGGTTAACGATGGCGACAGTCCGGCCCAGACGGTATTCACACGCCCTAGCAAATTATCAAAGTCAATACAATTAACAATACTTAGCGTCAGCCGTGAATTAATCCGTGTTATATAAATGGAACGTTCATCGAAGACATTAACAAATGGTTTAATGTAAGATCTAATAACTATGAGAACTTTGAAATCTATTTGGAATTGTAAAGCAATTTTAGCTAGAAATTTAATAACGTGCCACGATATCTCTCCGCTGACAGCGATGAAAATGAGAATTTCAATTCTAAAACGTAGGCATATTCAACTTTTCATTGATCATAGAATTTAGATATTAAAATTAGTTTTGGAGTATTAATATAATTTTACTTAGAGATGTTTATCGATTATTTCGCTACATGTCGTCATTTTAGCTTGTCTGTACTCTGTTCCATATTAACAGCTACTAAGAGCCGTTTTTCTATACTTCTTTTACTATCTAAATAATATTTAAAAAAGATAATTGTTTTACATTCATTACATACCTCAGCTTCACTTTTAATTGAATTTTAACCTATTGTTATTAGTAAAAGTAAAAAAAATATCAAAAAAACTCTACCGAAAGCCGCGAAGGTCTTGAAAGAATTTCATAATAATTAGTTGAAGTAAGGACATTTCTTAGATTACTTACAGTAAAATTGTGTTCTGAATATTATAAGTAGGTAATGTACTTATTTAGGTTAACATTGAAAGTAATGTTTTAAATGAGTTTTCATTAAGGTGTAAAAGTTTTGTATAAACATTAAAAAAACTTTAATTATATCAGTTTAAATTTAATTTTGTTAAACTCTGAATATTCTCTTCTTGGTTACATTGAAGAAATATTAAGGAATAGTAAAATATATCTTTGACGCATCTTTGATCTAAAACTCTATTTGCTTAGACTAGGATAGTTCACTAATTATCCAAGTCTTGGCCATTAAATGTTTAGTGTCGCTTTGATTCCTATGAGCTGATATGGTGCATACACTACTCGATTTATGCAACTAAACAGTTGAATTGGCTGCGAAACAACCGACAATCACACAACGGTTGTGCGATAGTTTCATCAAAGGTGTGCGCCCGCTCTAAATGTCCTATAATTGGACGTCAAAGCAATAGTTTCGTTTTATCTGTGAGAACGCAACGTCGACTCATCGACTGACATTGATGAATAACTTTCGTCTTAACGCTCCAAGAAGCGATGCGGAATAAAAATAAGACATTGATAAATTACATAAACACCCGATAATGTCAACCGACGTATTCTATTTTGTAAACCCGTTACCCCATTTTGACAGCGCGGAATAAAAACAAATAGCCTATAATATGCCTATCCATGTTAGCTCCCTCCAGTGAAAGTCCCGTCGAAATCAGTTCAGTCGTTTCGGAGATTGCCCGAAACAAACGCGGCTTGCGGACAGGCAGACACAGAGAGACAGACAGACAATTATTATATGTATGTATTTTTAGACAACTTATTTAATTGATACTGTCGCTAAACTCAGAGCAACACTTCTCGTCCAGACCCAGGTTGCGCGCCAATCTATCGTGACGTGACGTGACGTGACGTGACGTTTATGCCGATAATCTAGAGTTGCGAAAATTACTTTATATATTATAGCACTGTACTAATTTTATTCCTAACAGTATAGATTGGAATTAGCCTTGTTAAAATAAGATGTTATTGATGAATCATTGATGTCGAATAAAATTAATTTAACGGATATTATTGCGTGTTATTCGCAGAACTAGTGCCGTGGACCATTCAACATCCGGATGTCATGTCTGTTACAAGCTAATGGCAAAATTGTCGCTCGATATCAGTTAATTTAATATTATAAATACGAAAGTTTAGATAGATGGATGTTTGTTGGAGCTTGTTGCCTAAACGGCTGTAGATGTAGAAGATAGTGTGGAAGAAAACATTGGGTACTCAAATTTGTTTTTTTTTTAATTCCATGCTGAAGAAGTCGCGGGCGAAAGCTAGTGATACTGTAAATTCTAAGAATCAGTTCTTTGTATTCTATCTGTGATTTTTATTAATTACCTCGCTAATTTTACACCAGGGTACCATTGGAAGCCATTAAAAGCCAATATAGCGAGGGGGAGGTAAACCATTTAATCGTTAGTCTACATTATATATTCGCGGGGGTCGCACCCCATAGCAACATGACAAATATGTCAACGTCCTACACGCTACTAATATTGTTGTCTATAAGGGCCCGGATCTTTGACTTAACTATCGCAGTTGTACATATAAAAATCGAGTAGTGTGTCCACCTCCATATAAGCTCATAGGAATAAAAGCGCGACTAAACAGTTGTGCGATAGTTTAGTCAAAGATGTGCACGAGCTACAAAACCTTTACCGTCTATGGACAAGTAGATATAATTTATTACCCTTAGTACAGTTGATGAGTTCGTGTATTGATTACAATACATGTATAAAATGTGTAAAACTGAGATGTAGTTCTAATTATCTTGTATTACAAATTTTACAGAGCATTAGTCCCTACTAATGGCCGTCCTCCAAACGTCTACCTGTCTGCTCGGGGAATTTCATAATTGCACCTCATAAGTCCTCGTGAGCCTCACATAATTCAACCTTAAAGGTATATTAAAAGAAAAAAAATTCGATGACGATGTTACCCTAAAATCTGGCCTTATTTATTCGTGAAAAATAATGGACTGAATCTATTTTTAAATGTGATTGTACTTAAATTGTAACATATTAAATAACAGTTTTTACCCGTGACTTTGTCTGCATGAAAAAAAACTAGTAGTTAAAAATTGCCTATGATACTCAGCGATAAAGCTTGCTTGAAGTTTTTAAATATACTGGTTATGTGTAAAAATACAAATATTATACATAATATTAGTATAACTTTAAAATAGGAATATATGCCGACCATTGTTTTGTGGTACTGCTTTGTTTTATCAAGCCACTGTCCCAGATAAAAGTGTCGCGTCAAACACCAATATGTTTGTTTAGGTCCGCCTAAAATTTGCCAAGCAAACACAATTTGTGCTATAATATCTTTTGTTTATGTTAGTGTCAACAAGGCTATAAAAACTAAATGAGTTCGGAGGCGCCTGTTCTGTTTAATTAACGTTACGTGTTTACTACATTTACAAGCTTTATTGCTTGTGATTTTATTTGATTTGTCAGTTTGTTGTAGCAATGTCAACAAATTACATGGAATTTACATATTTTTTTTATTATTTTCTTAATTTCCTGCTGCTGTAGTTCTTGCAGTAATCTTGTTGTCTCTGTAGTTTTAGATATTATATATGTTTTCTTCTTATTACAAGATATTTTTACGTTTATTAGAATTTAGGGATTCTTTGAGTTTATGCAGCCGTGGAGCCATTAGCTTTGGCTACCAAGCGCAATATAGCTAACCCGTAATTTAAAAACATAATTCTTAGTTTATCATTTTCCATAATTGTGACAATGTTGTTTTCTGGAATTTGTATTTAACATACTGTAAGTTATTGAGGTCCTAGTTAGTTTTATTTGAATGTGCTATTTAAAAATTTTCATAAACTCCAGTTCATTATGTGTTTAAAAATAAATTCTCAACTCTCTTAAACCGCCCTTTGTTTTTATGGTAGTCACCTAGGCA